CTTTTTATAATTTTGATATTATTCACATTAAATGTGAGAATAATTATTTTGCAGATTTTCTTAGTAAAAACATAGAATTTGCTGATGGATAAAAATAAGATCATGAAATTATATCAATCCGTCCTTCATATACAAAAAAAGACTGACTTCCTCAAAGAGAAATCTGAAAACATAGATATCGGTGCGGTACAGATTGTAGAGACATTCAACTCAAATATAAAACTATTATTGGATATCATTGCAGAACAACATAAAAATTNGGAGTTACAACAATGAAAGAAGAATACAATGCAAACATGAAAACATTGTTGGAAATAACTTTTGAACAGCATAAAAATTCCATAGAACTTAAAAACCAGGTTGATGCTATTGCAGCACAACTGAAAAATATTCTGTCTGAGATAGAAATACCAAGTAGCTCAAAAATAAATCTTCCAAATCAATACCAAACAGGTGTAGCGGGAAGTAGCAGTGGACCCAGAGGGGACAACATGCCAACCGATAAAAAAAGAGACGCTCTTCCAGTAACATCAAGTAAAAAAGTGATGATACAATCAAATAAAAATGATTCCAAAACAATTAGCATCATAGACCAAAATGATAGAACCCCTTTGGACAAAAACGAAGAAAATTATTCCATAATAGTCCAAATGATTTATGAAATGAAAATCAGTGATACATACTTCATCTCTCTATGGCATAATGTTTATCCTAGAGTCACAGTTATGGAAGGAGGTGATACCGTTTTTATAAAAACAATTGCAGACTATGAATTCTTAGATTTAATATATCCAGGAAAAAAATTGATAGAATTATCAAAATTTGACGAAATGTTCATACAAGAAGTGTCAAAATTCACTAGAGGACGAATGGTATATTTAAAATTTTACTCAATAAGTCCATAATTTGATGGAGTTGTTTACTATCCGGTTGAACATATAATATCAATTGGATATGTAGCAGCCAATTTCAACATAGATGTCGTGGAAAATGAAAAGACGATGCCAAAGATAACCAGGTCATGGATAAAACATAGAAGAGCACTTGGAATCAAGACCATATACATTATTGCAAAAAAATTATACCGATAAAAAATTCTCATGCCTTTGCCAATATGAAAATTGGATACTATTAACCAATTGAGGATATGGAAATTCAGAGATATTGAAAGATTATATTACAAAATTCTACATACATCAGTTTCCGGAATGTTCTATCACCATAAAAGAATCTTGCCAACTACGGGAGCGTCCAAACTGCATGTGAAGATGTAGGATCATAAGGACAACAATAAAAGGGTGGAGTCCTGAATAAAGAAGATGTGAAACAAAGTTGTTTGTCTTATGTAATAATAGAGCCACAATAATTTAGTGGCAAGACTTTGTGGTAAAACTCCATAATTGGAGAATGATATAATCAGTGATATAAGATGCCAATAATTTTACCTCTTATGATTGTATAAAATAGAGGCATTCGAGCTAGAAGGGAGGCAGAACGAATTTGAGCGCTTAGTTTTGTGAGATAGCCAAAAAAACCTTCTGTCAAATCATATATCAATTATACCAATTTGAATCTTATCTTATACTATATTAAAGGAGGATAGTTCCGCAACAGCGTTCCCGCCCCAAGAACCCGCCCAAGAATCCCGTCTCAACCAATTATTATTATTATTAT